TCCTGAAGACCTTCTACCAGTCTGTGGTGGCCAGTGCCCTCTTCTTTGCTGTGGTGTGCTGGTGGGGTGGTATCAAGACTGGTGAGGCAAACAGGCTGAACAAGCTGGTGAGGAAGGCCCGCTCTGTAGTGGGTCTTGATCTGGACAGTTTGGAGACAGTGGGTGAGAGGAGGATGAAGGACAAAATCTTATCCATCCTGGATAACTCCTCTCACCCTCTACATGGTGAGCTGTGGCAGATGGGCAGCTCCTTCAGCCAACGCCTCATCCCCCCCAGGTGCAAAACAGAGCGCTTCAGGCGCTCCTTTGTGCCCACTGCCATAAGACTATATAACAGCAGCCGATGACAACAATAACAGCCCATCCTTGACACTAAACTTCACCCCCATAAAACACTACCCACATGACCTGCTTCATTATTATCATTGTATTATTGTATTATTATTATTACTTTGGTCAATATATATATACATATATATTGTACATTCTATATATTTTGTATTATATTATTATACTAGTCTATATTATATAACATTTCATTATATTACACTATATTGTTCATATTGCACTATATTATATTATATTATATTATACTACATTATATTATATAACTGCACTCTGCATCACTGTGGTACAACACTGCCTCTCTTCTCTGCTGTTTACATTACTTGCTGCTATTTATTTATCATACCAAGTCACTTTAATCATCACTTGTCACTTTATCTTGTCATTATCTGGTCATTCTCTTCAAATACTGTCTCAAAACTTCAACATTCATTTTTGTACTGTATATACCCCCTGTTTTTAATTTTAATTTTAATTTTAATTTATCTTATTCTATTCTGTTTAATGTGTATTTGAGCTTTCTTGTCTGTGCTGCTGTAACGCCCGAATTTCCCCTCTGGGGATCAATAAAGTACTATCCTATCCTATCCTAGTGCAGATTGTCATTTAAAGGGGCAATATGTAACTCTGACACGTAGGGTTTGAAATTGGTACTTAAAACTAAATTGAAAACATAGGAGAGAGATGCCCCCCCTGTCCCCATTGGTTAGTTGTTTCTATTTTAAATATAAATTTATCTTATCCTTGGGTGCATCAGTGACTCACTTCCCTTTGTTTTATATAATGGTCTTTATAAGTGATCATTGCAGGGGCGGTGGTCAGTTTGTATGTCCTCATGTAGGCCCCATGTACATAGGCTACAGTCCCCAAAGCAGGCAGCTTTGGTTTAAATCCAACCTGCAGCATGCTACCCGCTCCCCGGCAGCATGCCATTCCCTACTTACTCACTCTCCCTGATTTCCAACTCTATCCACTGTCTTCTCTGTCATAAAGATATAATTATATAAGTGCCAGGCATTCATATGAACATGGTTGTTGTTGACAGAAAGGTAAAGCACAGAAAATATTTGTAATATATTGAACAATTAAACAGAAACATTTTGCTGGCCACAACAGGAGAAAGGCATCTCAGCCTCACCAAGTTTATTATGTGGACAAATATTTTTTATTGTTATAATGTTCCAATTTTTATTTTTATTGGAGAAGCAGAGTATGGTTTTCTGGCACAACTTCACCGACTACCAAGGTGCACGGAGAGTGATAGACTTGAAAAGGTTAAAATACTCCAGCAACACTTGTAGTATGAAGATCAATTGTATTAACTCTCTTAGACCGATGCTGCTTGTGGCCTTCATCAGGGTCCTCCTCAGAAGGCTGTAAGCCGGAAGGTGTCGGTCTAATAGAGTTAATACAATTGACCTCCATAGTTTTTTATTCAGCAGACTGTAAGATAAATTCACAACTCTTTAACAGATTGAACATGTATTCTTGGTTGGGCTAGATATTTTCATTCCTTCCTCAAAGGTGCCGCGGAAAGCTAAACAAGGAAGTGTCAAAGCATACCACGTGATGCGTCTGAACAAATCACATTATCAGATACCAACACAAGCCAATGAAATTACATTCTTAGTGTTAAACCCCCCTTTGAACTTTCACTTTTCATTGCTGGTAGAAAGGAAGTGTCCTTATTTGGGTTACATAGTGTTGTGCAGGAGAGAGAGCTTTGCAGAGATATCAGTCATGACTACCATTACGCCGCGATCAGACAAAAATTTATTAAAGTATACACATAAATGTATAATTTAGATATTTGCTTTATGGTAGTTTGAAATATTCAGGGAGTGAACTAGCCCAAAATCTCAAAAATTGACCAATGCATAAAACATTTATATTTTTGCCTGCTGTGTCTCACCTTAGGATGACTATGAGTTATTATTATTCACTCATAAGGTTTTAGATAGGGTTATGATTTTTCATGGAATATTAGGATCCATGTTAATGTGGTTAGTACGTGAATTATACATTGTCGATCCAAACATGTGCATCTAAAACATTTGATCCAAAGCTTCCACTGTTCACCAGTCCATATCAGTTCAAAAGTTGTAGTGTGTGTCTGATGTAATAATCAGCGTGACATAAACATCAGTAAGAGGTGTGAACGATGGTGTGGTGGGGACTCAGGCAGTCAGCCTCCTCTCCTCACTTCTCACACCTCCAAGTACAGGGAGCTCATTACCGCTGGCTGTACACTAGTGCACCGTCAACCAGGGAACTCATTATTTTCACAAGCGATGACTCTACCTGTGTTCTTTTTTGGAAAAACATATTTGTGCCAGGTCAATAGATCCAAAAACACAATCGGAAACACTTGGAAAAAGTTTCACTTGGACTAAAGGATGACTAAACTAGATTTTGATGATCAAAGATTATATGGTGAATCATGATAAAGGGGTTATGACTACATACATATCCAAACAGTTTTCCATACCTCTTTTAAAACAAACATTTTACTACATTAGGCAACATCCCCATAAATTCCACATGTTGTGTTATCACTCTCCAGAGTGTCCAGAGTTGATACACATACATCCTCAGTTTCTTTCCTGTTCAGTGACCATCTTCATCATATATCTTTTCTGAAAGTGTGTGATAACTGCTATTGAGGTAATTAACAGGGTTCATAAGTCATTTTGATGACATGTAATTAAACTTCAGTCAAGACTTCTCTTGATTCAGACAATTCAGCTATCTAAAGCTATGTCTAAAGGTATAGACATATATATATATATATATATATATATATATATATATATATATATATATATATATATATATAAACCCCTTTCTCTCAAAGCCTGAAAAAGTACATGTAGTTCCCAATCAATTGTTTCTTTTGTCATATAATACTTTGAGGATTTTCAGTCTGAGTTAAGGGGCCTGTAGGTGCTGTATTGGAGCCAAATGATAGTCAATCAATCAATCAATCAAACTTTATTTATATAGCACCTTTCAGACAAATTAAATTGCAGTTCAAAGTGCTTTACAAGAGTGCAGAAAAGTTATTGATGAAAAATAGTTTATAAAATCATTGAGAGACTAATGCACGCAGATAAGAATTTAATAAAATTATATGAAAAAATAAAATATGACACATAAAAACAATAAGATAGTAAAATTAATACATGGGAGAAAAATATTTAAAATATTAGTACGATAAAAAAGACAATACAATAATGTTAAGATTTGAATTTATATAAAGCACTATATCAAAGCCAGACTGAATAAATGAGTTTTAAGACTGTTTAAAAATCTCAAGGTGCATTGCTCAGGTAAGCGAACTGGTTCAGATCAAACTGATTCTACCCGACTGAAAAAGCCTCTGCATGTTTTTAATAAGCTCCACGAGCAGAAACGTGCACAAACTAGGATCAATATTGGAGATGCTTTTGAAAAATGGTAAGAGGTTAGAACACAGAAAGGTTCAAGACTGATGCAGAGCTGGCTAAACACTGAAGCTTCAGTGTCACTAACATGGCAACCTGCATAAGGATTGATAATAGGGAGTAGGGGGCCAGGAAGACAGCTCTATTCAATGTTTTAAATTTACATTTAAGAACCAATTTTAAACCCTACATGTCAGCGTGACAGCGTTAAATATTTCTGCTTTAAATGACAATCTGGACTATCTCCATAAGACTACACTCAAGCCATAATTCTCTTCTCTGTCGCATGTTGCACATGCAGACTGACTGGGCAGGTTGGACAGGTCAGGGAGCAACTTGCTGTGGCATGTAATAATGGAAAAAATATATATATATATTATTGTTAAACACATACACAGGTGCTGATATCAAGTCCAGTTTGTCAATGGCCCTCTGGGCCACTAGTCCAAGAAAAGTGACTCCTGTCGGCCATTTGTAAAACTCCCAGCCAAACAAAAAACTTTAAAACCTTCAGGTAAGAATCCCATTGTTGAATTGTGAAGGGACCTTCACTACCTGCTGTATCTCTTTTTCTGTCTGCTGGGACAGATTGTCCAACCTCCATCTCTGAAGGTCTTTTATTTAAACTCTGACTTTACTGGCCACAGAAGCAGAGCTCATTTGGTAGAAGAAAAGGTGACCTCATATGTGGCAGATTGTGCTCTGCTGGCCACACTGTCCTGCTAACTGTGGAAGGTAAGTGTAGGATTTGTATGTATGTATTTGTACAGTATGTAAACTTGCCAATGCTCATATTTCTTATTTCTTTATGAAGATGAAATTAATGTCTGGAAATGTTTGTTTTTGAAATTGAGCAGACTGTCTATTAGCAATGGACTAGGCCTAATGAAACCTAATGTTTTACAGTAGTTCAAAGCTGTATGCAGAATCATGAACCAAAAGAAATAGACAGTTGAGACCTGATTTTGAGTCCCTAATCATGAGCCAAACTTTATTCTCAACAAAATGTACATCAAGTTTTGTTCTTCCATCAGGTTACGGTTTTGCAATATGTTACCAGTTTGTTTTTTTCAGCAAATGTTAAATGAAACAGGTGAATGGAGCTTGTGTATTGATTTTAATAATAAAGATACATCTATTGTTTAGAAAGCAATATCATGTGCATTTGAATCCATTCCTATTTTTGTTCAGTTCTTGTTTCCTTTCAAACAGATGGAGCCAGAACGCTGCTTTGAGTCCAGAAACACTTCATGTTTGAAGTCAAGTTATCCCATACCCCTACGTGTTACCCTCTACATCATTTTAGGGGTCATAATCATCCTAACAGTGTGTGGAAACCTTTTGGTCACTTTCTCAGTGGCTTATTTTAAGCAGCTCCATACTCCAACAAATTACCTGATTTTGTCTCTTGCTGTGTCTGACCTGCTTTCAGGGATAATAGTCATGTTCCCTTTTATGATTCAAACAATTGAGTCTTGTTGGTATTTTGGCGACTTCTTCTGCAATGTCTACATGAGTTCTGCTCCCACGCTGTGTACAGCATCAATTATCACTCTTTCCTTCATATCAGTTGATCGATACTACGCTGTTTGCCAACCTCTGCTTTACAGAAGTAAAATATCTGTGAATGTTGTGTTGATCATGATCCTGATCTGTTGGAGTATTTCAGTTATTTTAGGTTTTGGAATGATTTTTCTGAAGTTAAATATTTTGGGTGTTGAAGAGTTTTATTATAACCATGTTGTATGTGAAGGAGGATGTATTTTTTTTATGAGTGGAATGTCTATTACTGTCTTCTCAGTGATTTCTTTTTACTTGCCCGGAATAATAATGCTCTGTGTTTACCTTAAGATTTTCCTTGTGGCACGGAAACAGTTTCGCAGCATACAAAATGCAGGATGTGTGAACTCAGTAAAAAAGTCAAACACAAGCCAGACAAAGGCCACTAAAACCCTGGCTATTGTAATGGGGGTTTTTCTGTGCTTTACGACTCCATTTTTTGTTTTTAACATAATCAATCCTTTTATTAGTTACTCAATACCGCCAAAATTTATTGTAACACTTATATGGTTGGCATACTTGAATTCTACTGTGAACCCTATGATATATGCATTCTTTTATAGTTGGTTCAGAAAGGCTTTTAAATTATTGACCTCAGGTAACATCTTTATATTTGGCATTTCTGATACAACACTTTTCACTGAATAAACTGATGAAAATTTAACAATTTGGGAATTCAGTTTTTATTTTTACAAGCAAAACGTTTATGAAATTGTTGTAAATGTGCCTTATGAATCAATTAGATCTGCTAATGGATCTTTTGGAAACAACTCGGACCACCACTGATTTAGTTGGTTGACCAGAATGCAGTGGATCTTTCTGCTTTCAAGAATATGAACAGAAGCTCTGTCATTTTAGCTACTGTCATTTTAGGTGAAACATAGATTTGATTTTTCAACATTGTAAAAATAATTGTGTCCTAAGCTTTCGAGTTTTCTTAACTTGTGAATAATCCTCCCACTGAAATTCATCGCATTGGGTATCATTCAGTTAGAAAGTTAGAAAAAAAAGGGTGATTTGGTCCTTGGTGAGCAACACACCTATTAGTGGAGAATGTGTCACCTTCAACCTTTAACTGATTTTCTCTGAGAAAAAGTAAATGTTGCAACTGTCACAACAGAACCATATCTTGAATATTTTCTCCAACTGAGATTTCTGAAATAACTTAAAGCTAAAGTAAGTCCTTCCCTCAGTAATCAACAGGGTAAGCTGATGAGTCATTTTGATGACCTGTAATTAAACTTAAGATAACACTTCATACTAACCATCATCTATTAAGGGTAAATAGATAATTAACCATTAGTTAATAGTTATTTTATTACGTTCTGGTAAAAAACAAGGAACTGGTCCCAAGTGCAGAAGCTAACAAAAAATGATTTATTTTAAATAAAGTTCAAAAGTCCACAACAAAACTTACTAACAAAATCCAACAGGAGAAAACAAGGAGCCGCGAGGAAACACAAGGAGACACTAGTAAACTGACGACCGACATACACCTACAACTGACATTCAACATACGACAATGAACTGACACAGAGGGCAAGAAACACACAACACAACACATATTAAACGGTTTGGGTTAGGGTACCCCTAACCTTAAACTATTTCTTGTGTTACTTGATGACATCATCAATTTGAAGTTGTGATGCCTTTACTTCCAGGTTAGTAACTGTGTTAAATATTCTTTATTTTACTTTCCAAAATCACCAGGGAAGCACAGAGGTGGACTTTGCCTCAAATTTAAATCTTACCTCCAGCTGTTTTGATTCATAATTTATGAGTTATGTCCAGCCAAAATTGTTTCAGTATTCACATAAAAATAAAAAAAAACCTACCAGGAATGATTGAAACCAACCTGAATCAGACTTGGCAGGAGTCATCTGTGCTTTGACAGAGGGAAAATAACAAGGCCTAAAACCCTTGTTCATCCATTTCTGTCTACTAAGTGAGATCATGGTCGGTAGAGTTGAACAGAGAATAGCAGGGAACCTCACAAGGAGTTCAAAGAGTTGAGTGGGGATAGTCTACACACTCAATAGTTTGTTGAGTGAGGCTGTTTTTCAGCACCATGGACAGAGTCAGTGTACTGACAGCATAGTGTGCTACTAAATCACAAACACAAAGCCTCTTAAAATATAATTTTTTTAATGATTTGTGCTGTGCTTATCACACACACACACACACACAAACACACACACACGCGCACGCACACGCACACGCACGCACGCACACACACAGACACACACACACACACACACACACACACACGCACACACACACACACACACACACACACACACACACGCACACACACACACACACACACACGCACACACACAGGCACACGCACACACGCGCGCGCACACACACGCACACACACACACACGCGCGCACACACACACACGCGCGCGCACACACACACACACACACACACACACAAGGGATACTGCCTCCTCCAATATAATCAGAGCTCCATCAGCAGTGAGCGGTATAAACAGCTCTTATGGGAGCATTAAAACACTCCCCTGCCTTGATTTACTTGAATGTGAAACTGGTGTGTGAAGCAGAGCCCTTCAAGAGCTGTCACATAAAATCAAAAGAGAAAATCATTTTAAATAAACTGACTGATTGATCTGCATGTTGGTGCAGTGGTTCCCTGATTCGAATCTATATATTTTTAATTTATATATATATATAAATATTTCTTTTTTTTTAAAGTGTATCTACAGCCATGGACTCTTGAGTCTAGCTCTGCCTCTTAGCGTCAAGGTGGGAAGCCCATCTTTTGATAAGTGCAGTATGTATGCAGAGAGGGTGATTAGCTGCAACCACGACATGTACACCTCCAAGACCCTGAGGTGTGCAGGTTAAACTGTGGCCGATACCTCTCACCCCGGACATGGCCTGTTGACCCTACCGTCTGGTAAGAGGCGGCAGTCTATCAGGACCAAAACCTCACGCCACAGGAACAGTTTCTTCCCGTCTGCTGCCAGCCTGATCAATAATGTGAACTATTCTGATTATAATGTGTGTGAATGTAAATCTGTGTCTGTGTCCCTCTCTGTGTGCCATTTCGTGCATACAAGTCAGATTTTTTGGGGGGGCAGTCAGCCTGTTGAGAGGCTTTTAACAAGTCAAGCAGCTGTTGACTCTGTGTATCACTGAGACAGAACATCATCATACTGTTGCTGTTTCCATTTCCCATTGACCCTGGCAGACCGATTGTTCTCACATGGCCCATTTGTTGTGTCTGTTTACATACTGACTCTATATGTTCCCCTTTATCTCTCCACCATCAGTCCTTTTCACATTGCTTTTTTTCTGACTAAGTGTCACAATTCAGCTCAGCCTTCATCACGTCTTTATAGATTCATATTGATGCTGCGATGGCGTTATACATTGTGTCCAGGTCTGTGAATTCACATTGTGTTTCAGCATTGCCGAAGCAGGAGTTCCACATACACACGCAGTCAGACATGCACACTCATACAGCGCTGCGCTCCCTGATGGCTCAGCTGATACCATCTCGCCTCTGTAACTAAATTCAGATTAAAAGCGAAACTTCACAGGGCGGGGTTAGATATCGTGGCTTGAAACAGCAGTCTTTTAGTTCAATATTTCTTCACCATCTAATGGGCTACGTTTGTCTACTCAGCACTTCTTACTCATTACTACTGACGCTTATTAAAGCTGTAAATTATGTGGCAGCAAACTTGTACAATCCCAGTCAGTAGTTCTCTATATTGGCTACAGCAGCAGCGGTCCAGAGACTTTGCCCTCCCTCATGAATTGCAAGTGAAAATGTTTATGGAGCAGCTTTAAACGCCTGCAACAGAACCCTGAGGGGGCATTAATAAAGAGGCGGAAGAAATACGCACTGATTAAATCAATGAATAAACAGACTTTATGTTATCCACTAATAAATCTTCCACATTTGAACACTCAATCCAAACCAACAGATTACATCAATAAAGACACCACTGACAGGTAACATAAAGTTTCTGTACCTCTACTTTTCACTTCGTGTTTGACTTGTGTACATTTCTTCATTACATGGTCCACAGACTTGTGTTGTACTGTAGTCCTCCCACAGAGCCCAGTCGCACTGACTGACTCTTAATGATTAGTCAAAAATGGCTGACAGCCAGACTCAAGATTTGGGTCGGGAGATGTAGATACCAAAAACAAGACATTAAAATGGCGATATAAACTGAGAAAAATATTTTATGTATGCTGCTAAGTAACCATATTCCAACTGTGACTGGATGTCTGTTTGGTGTTGTTCAGGTTGAGGCGAAAAGAGACGCAGTGATTAAACGGCAATCAATCACATCACATTTACAGATGACTGTTGGAGGGTGGTGAACTTTAAACTGATCTAATGAAAAGATGACAAACGGTGAATGATAATCGACTTACCTGCTGATGACTGATAATTCAGGAACTACAAATATCACCCTTGATGAATGTCGGTAAAATGATTCAACATGATCAAAACCGGGGATGCACTGTTGCCTCACAGCAAGAAGAAGGGTCCTGGTTTGAACCCTTGGTGGGACATCAGTCTTTCAGTTTGGAGTTTGCATGTTCTTCCCAATGAACCAATAAAATGTAGTAGAACAACTAAAGACAATTCATTTTTTAAATTTATTTTCTTTAATACTTTTTATTTGATAGTTTTGAAGAAAAATAACAAACTGTCAGAATGAGCGTAGATGTACATATAAGTGCATCATCTATACAGGCATGGATAAATATTTATGTTAGCTCATTCTACGACAGAAGAGAAGAGTGAGCAAAAAAGAAAAGTTTTTTTCTTTTTTTTCTTAAATAAAAAATAAAATAATAAAATAGAAAAAGAGCAAAAGAACAACAGAGCATATTAACTTATCAAAAAGAATAAAGAAAAAAGAAAAAAACAAAACAATAAAAAAAGTGGGCCTTGGCTTGTTCTACTCTAATAGAATTTAATATATATTTTTGTTTATGTGTTCTTCACCATCTGCTTGTGGCTTAAGTTCAATGCTCAAGTATACGCAAAACTTTGCTCTTTGTTGATCTTCGTTTCGCCCCTATATTAAATCTGTGTCTGTTAACATCTTCCATCGTGACTCAAAGACGTCACCTATATTCCTTATCCTATGTGTAATTCTCTCCATATTATAAACATCCTTAATTGTGTTTTTCCATTTAATTATTTGTGGTGGGGTTGGTTTTAGCCAGTTTTTAGTTATCTGTTTGATCGCCGTTATTCTTAAAATTCTATAGAGGTATTTATCTGAGTTGAGGGACAGAGCATGGGGGGGAGCTCCCAAAAGTAGATCTTGTGGACCGAGGAAGAGGTTACATTTAAAAATCTTGTTTATTTCCTCTTTCACTGAGGACCAGTATTGTTCTAAAACTGGGCATGAGTAGAATATGTGAGTGTGGTTAGCTTTGCTTTCTCCACAGTTGCGCCAGCAGCTTGATGTGACGCTATGGCTGTATTTGGATTGGATGATAGGTGTTTTGAAGTTTCTAATTTGAAGTTTCCAGGAGAACTCCCTCCAAAGTAAGGTGCTTGTTGTTTTCCAAGTGTTACTACAAATATTTTCCCATTCATCATCCAATATGTTTACATGTAATTCGTTTTCACAATTAGTCAGTGC